TCAGTGAAAATTTGTATTTAAAAGTATCTGCTTAACTTTACAATAAATCCTTAAAATTACTTCAAAGCGCTTTTACCCAAGCAAAGTTTTAAAAAAACACCACAGTTTTGAGTAACTTAACTCGAAGCTATGCTTTAACTTTAAACTACATTTATCATTTTGCTGTAAAAAATAGCCTAAACTTGAAAAAGAAATCGAATCACCTACATGCCTACCATCGCCGTCACGCAAAGCTGTACGAAATCTTCGGAACTTTTTGCTCAGAAAAATAAGTTGTTTTTCAAATTCGAATTTAAAATGCTATCTAAGGCTTATTTTTAAAAGCACTGTCACTTCATTTTGTTTTAAAATCGTCGTTGAACAGCCGACCCAATTTTTGGGTTTACGACTACTAATATTTAACTCCGTAGCCTTGTAATTTTGAACCCAATCCAGAAAACAAGGGAAAACTTGGATCCAGTATTTGGATGACTTTTTGATGGCTGTCACTGATAAATGTATTTTTCACAAAACTTCAGTGTTTAAGTGTAATAAGTACCAAATATACTAATATAGGTATAAACTATCATATTCATGTATTTGATGATTATTAAGATTGCCCCAATACTAAACAGTTTTAAAACTGATATTTTGAAAATAAGTTTCTTTCGGCCCTTCAAAAGGATATGTACCGGAGAAAATTACTTGATACTGTAATAGCATGCCAAGGGATGCTAAATATATTTTTATCTTTATTCTAATGGGATAAACTGCACAAGACGGGTTTTACTTAATTCAATAACGTAAAGCCACCATAAACTTCAACAAATATTATTAAATAAGCATTTTTAATTGGTTTTGATTATATTAATTGAAAAACTCAGTGGAAGAATCAAGTAGGTGACATTTGCAGAACAAAAAAAAAATGTTTCCTCTGAACTATTTCACTACCAATTTATTAGTAATTATATTTATTAATAATTTTTTGTTTTAATTTATTTAACACTACCTAATTTGAAATAAAAAACATGCAAGCATACTAAAGACTAATGCGATTACTTACGTTAAGATTTAAGTGAAAGCAAAAACATTTCTGCTGCATTAAACATAATCTTATTGAGGCAACCACTTTTTGTTATTTTCTTTGATTCATTAATTCCTCAAAAAATTTCACTTACCTGGTTCTTCCATCAAGCTCTTTAATTGTGTCGGTATATCGGTTCGTAGTGTTTCTCAATACTGATTTATTGATATTTTACTTTGTATTATTTTTGTGCGAAGAATGGGAATTCAGATAATAGATATTTTAAAATAGCAATGTTTAAATAATCTATTCCACGAAATTGCATTATTTTTCATACAAAGCGAGATATTCAACTGTTATCAAAATGTAAAAAGAAAACACATTCTGAAATTTCTCTTTCAGGCATCAAACCAAGATAACAGACGCGCTTTATTCAGATTTTCAACAGAAGCATTTGGTTTATTCAGCGAAAGCGTATCTAGAATTGTTATCATGATAGATCTCATCTAGCGAGGCCTTTATTTTCAATAGTAGAGAGGAAAGCTCTCTCTCTCCCGTTTCATCCAATCAATTTAATGCATCCTACGGGATTTAGTAGGATTGGCGATTAATTTAAGAGCAGACGATATTAAATCCCTCCTTTTTGGTCTTAATGTAAAGAGTGTTGTGGTGGATTTTATCACCTTTTATATGAATCTAAAAAAGATAGCACTCGAATGGAGGTAAGATAGAAGAGTAAGAAACGGTATCACTTTCTTTGTGAATTGATTGTGATTTAGTATTAAAAAGAAGTGATTGTGAGAAATTCAACTTACAATAACTTCTTTTTGTATTAGTTAAAATAAAACTGCCATTCCAATTGATGCAAAATGTTTGTTCTCCTTGTGTGAAGGGAATATACAACTCCAAAATATTATTTATATTTGAGTATTCGACAGTTGGTATAGTGAAGAACAACGTTATAAAAGTCATAGAATTGTTTTTTTCTTCAATGGACGTCCTTACACAAGTTAAAATTTGTGATGGTTTCCCATTGATGGACCAACATAATTCTGATGGTAACCATCAATAATTCCATAATGAACCATTATATTTTCTGCTGGTAACCACCATATGTAACCATAACCCAAGTGTAGGAATTCGGACTGATTTATGATGGTCCAACATAAGAATAGCAACTTGTTTCATGCAACGGTCAATAGAAACGGTCATGAGCCACCATCTATGTAGGAATTGGGTCTGATTTATGATGGGCAAATATAAAGAAAAATCCAAATATTTTTGATGGATCCTGCTGAACTAACAAGAATTCCCATTAAACCATCATGTATGAATTACTGGTTCATGAGAATCAAACTTCTCTTGATGGTTAACCATCATAGTATCAAAGTAGCATTTTCCATCATGTAATGATGGAAGTTTGTTGGCATATCAAAAACCATGAACGCATTCTCCAAACATGAAATAGCAATTTGCTTTGATGGTGAGTTCATGTTAAACCATCACGAATTTCCATCATGGTATCTTAGAAATCAAATGTTTTAACTAACGTGAACATCCCTCATCCCGATGTACGAATTCAAACTGATTTATGATGGTCAAACATAAGAATACCAACTAGTTCTGATGGTTTGTTTATGTTGATTCATCACGAATTTCCATTTTAGTATCTTAGAAATCAAATGTTGGAACGCTCATGAACCACCATCATCTCAATGTAGAAATTCGAAATTATTTAAGGTAGTCCAAGATAAAATAAAAAAAATGTTGATGGTTTGCTCCTGAGAACCAACAAGAATTCCCCTTAAACCATCATGGAAATGTATAGTTGGAATCACCATGAACCATCACGGATTATCATGGATTGTTGGTCCATGAGAGTCAAACTTTTCTTGATGGTAAACCATCATAGTATTAAAGTAGCATGTTTCATCATGGAAGTTTGTTGGCATATCAAAAACCATGAACGTATAATGGAAAATGTTGGATGACGGTGGCCATCAAGTGATGTTTTACCATCATGAATTGCACTGAAACCAACATAAACCATCAAAACTTTTTGATGGGACCATCAAGAATTTTGACTCGAAAATAGATAAAAAAAAAGATTCTGCAAATTTTAAGTGGCCATTTCATGCTCGTTAGCACAACAACATCTTATATTATATTCTAACACAAGATTTTATCAGCGTATGCTGGGTCTTCCTTAACGATCATCTTTAAAATATATTTCTTTAGAATCCTTCTCAAAATTAAAGCCAAGAAAGCATGAAAGCTAAGGGCACTTTTTCATTTCACCACGCGATACCGACAAAATCGGACGACAAATGTGTGAACGACAATGTCGTTGCCGGTTCGTTCAAGCAATTGTTTTTTTACTTGTCCGATATCGTTCGTCCCAGAAGTAGAAATTCTTGTTCATTCAATGTTTTGAGCTTGAGTGAGCAGTTGCTTGTGTTCTGTTGTGATTTTTTTTCTGCAAACTTTAAATATGCCGGATGATAATCGTCGTTACAAACTTCTTACTTTATTTTAGAAGAAAAAAGTTAGCAGTGCAGAAACGTTTTTTGGTGGACGAAATGGTACTTGCGTATTAACGCCACTGCAGCTACAGATTTGGCCGTTTTTAAGTGCCGCCAATCTACACCTAAAATTTTTGCGACAAATCATGAAATAGAACACTTTATTTAAAATCTAAAAATTTAAAACACTTTATTTAAAATCAAAGTAGTCAATCGGATTTCGGTGGAAAATGGGCCGATATAGAGCTAGCTAAGGTAGGGTAGCTAGCGAAAAGAATCAAAAGTACTTTGGAAGCATAACTAATCATTACTGAAGTAGACAGAGCTAAGAACATAAAAGCATGTATAACTGCCAGTTTAAACAGGAGTTGAAAGATTATATTTATAAACACCTTCATGTTTATTCAAGTAGTCAAACTAGTTTTGGCATTTCTCATTCTACATTTTCAACAAATTTTAGTAGCTTTCTTTTTGTTTCTATATGGCAATATATAAAAAATATAAAAATCAATTCCTACTTAGGTCAACAAAGAAAAATCAATTCCTACTTAGGTCAACAAAGAAAAATTTTGTTTTTGTTACTTTTTATTAAATAATTTCCCCTATAAAACTAAAATTAATTAATAAAATTTAATGAATGAGTTAATATTTGAACAAACTGTATTGACATCAAGTGTCATCCACTACAAGTTTTAAAAAAAATGTATTTGAACACTTGAGTGGATGAACAAAAAATATTTTATTAATGTTTGAAAATTTGAACAAGATAATAGGGAGAGTGTGAAGTTAATAGTTAGGAATTGAGTACTGATTTCTTATTTCTGGCCAAAAATATACGAGAGGCACACATTTTACTTTAAAAGATATTTTTCATGCTGTACAGTGTTGTTTCGTGAATTTTTGTTCCAAAAAAAAATTTTTTTTTAATCAAACAATTTTAAAAATTCTATTTACAAAATAAAAATGAAAAACTAATTTAGAAAAAAATTTATAATTTATTTTTTAAAAAAAACAAAAGACTAGCTCTGCTTGTTTTGTTCTATTCCTTTCCCCCCAAAATCAAAGCAATAAAAGAAGTGAGAGTAGAGCAATTGAATCAAAATCACCCTCTCCTTTATAAAACAATATAAAACTCAACAGCTTCGGACAAGAAGATCGAGTTATAATTGTAATCATCCCTCCTTTTCTTCCTAATTCTTGTGCCAGACAGCTCCATTATGCAAATGAGCAGGGCGATACTTACGCCCTCTTCTGGCCACCGCCCTCCTTACCCAAACCATCATTCTCCCGTCGCTCGCGGAGAATCTCATCCGCTGGGCGCCAAGCTCCCAAACGATATTCCTGCAATTCCGAAATAACTTTCCTTTGAAACATGCAGACGATTATTTCTTGGAAGCTATAAACAACTCAAATATCCTCCGAATAATCTTGGAATTATTCCTCACGGCTTTATTAAGTGTATTCCTCTTATCTAGGAATTTAATTCGTATTTGAATTTGACCACCTCGTTGACCAAAATGCCCCTTGGAGCTATAGGTGCAATGAAAGGAACGATGGTTGTTGCGAGCCAAGATAGGAATGGCCCGGAGTAAGTTTATTAGTTTGTTCTAATAAGTCAATCAATATATATTATTTGCGTGAAAAATGTTTAGATAATTATCTATATATTCGAATCAGTTTTTTGTTGGATCATTTTATTTTTGAGAGAAAATATGTATTTGATCATAATTTTTTTTTCTTATTTTGTTTTAAATGAAAATTTGATTTCGGATTTTAAAAAAATTAAAACACAGAAAGAGAAAATTGACGTGAATTTTATTAAATTTTAATTTTATTACAATTTTCCAGCTCTAGTCTGAAGTTTTTTAGTTTGGAATCATTTTAGAGATTCAAAACCATTTTCTTTTAAAATACTCAGACGATTATATTTCAGAGGCTAAAAGCAACTCAACTCAAATGTCCTCAGGATGATTCCATTTTTTTCCCCCTCACCTATCGTGAAATGTATTTTTAGTGCTCAAACTATAGTTTCATTTTAGAAAATAGTTAAAAACATTATTAAATTTATTAAAAAATAAAATATCTAAATTTTTACAACTATTTTTAGTATAATTTTTAATAAGGTCAAAACTCTTTTTCTATTGGCATGACAGCTCTTTGTGGGCCATAGCCTTCCCCAGAACCTTCCTCCATTCTGCTCTTCTCTTTGCGATTGTTCTCCAGTTAGTCATTCACCACACCGTCAAGCCATCTGATCTTAGGCCTAACTCTAGTTCTTATTGGCTTGTAATTGAAGATCTTAGACGTCAAGGAAGAAGGGCTTATTCGGTAGATGTGACCCACAAGCTTTAAGCGATTGTATTTGTTGATATCAGCTTCTTTGAAAATAGCCTATATATTTCAAAATTGTGTTCTTGTCTCCATAAGCCATCGACATTTATAGCACCGCAAGTTTTTCTTCCAAAAACAGCAAGCAGGTCTGCTTTGATTGAGTTAAAGACCATATTTCGGATATTTTTAAATAGAATTATGTTTGTTCGTCTTTTAATTTATATTGACTTAAGAAATGTTCTTAAGCGGTGAAAGCATCGATTGGCCGCTATAATGCGTCCCTTTATTTTTGTGCTTATATCGTTTAAGTCATCAATATTTGGACCAAGATAAGTGAAATCGTCAACAAGTTCGAATTTAGAATTTAAAAATTTATAATTTGCAGGTGTTTTTAATAATTGGAATGTATTTGGTCGTGTCTTCGTTGACAACTAGATGCATCTTTTCTGAAGAATTCTTAAGAGTGGTAACTGCTTCCAACAATGTCCTTGCGATTATTACCAAATCATAAGTAAGGATTTTAGTAAATATTGTGCCTCGAGTATTAACATCGGAATCACCCGTTCCAGCGCCAAGTTGAAAAGAAAACAGGTCAAAGCGTCGCACTGTTTCATACCATTTACAATTTCAAAAAAAGCTCTGAGTATTAAATCACGATTAACACTATCTTCGGCTGATTTAAAATCAATAAAAAGATAATGCAACTCTATTCCATACTCTCTGGATTTTTCGAGAATTTGACTCAAGTTGAATATCTGCTTACATGTAGATTTACCCTTTCTAACACCACATTCTCCTACTATGTCTTCAATTAGTCTATTGAAGATGATAATCGAGAAAATTTTATAGGTGTGATTAAGCAAACTAATACCTCTATAATTACAAGAGTTTGCCAGATCTCTTTTCTTATGTATTGGACATACAATACCTCGGTACCAGTCTGAGGGTAACTTTTCATTATTCCAAGTGTGTAAAATGAAATTATGCGTGCATTCCAACCATTTTTTTCCTCCGTACACTGTAAAAAACTCGGTAAATCTTTAACCAGCTTTTGGTGAAAAAAGTTTCCCATTTTCTCACAGTTTAGTTACATGAAAGATCATTTTATTTCAACTATTCCTTAAATTGTGAAGTATGAGCGAGAAATATTTCCTGGAGCAACTAACTGCACCAAAATTTGGTCAAAGACACAAAGCTTTCAGGGTGACTGTAAATTGAACTATATTTGTTGACGACGCCATGCTTTCCTTACAACTCGGTCTCGCGGGACGAATAATGCATGCTGTTTGAAGCACCAACGTATCTAAGTAGTTTTATTTGCATTCATCAAAGTTCGTTTCTTTTATTTTGCCCTTTTAAGTTCGGTTGGTGGTATAAAATGGTTAGATGTACGTCATAAAATAACATACTTAATGCAAATAGTTTTGTTGCGGTAAATAGCAAACCTTTGTCGGCATTTGTGCTCTTTAAAAATATCTAATAATGGTGCAACCATCTTCTGCTTTTCTAAAAGAAAGAATGATAATAGATGTTTTGTTTCTTCAAAACACATACTTTTAGTACAACCTTCTGTTGATATTTGGAGCTAGTGAACATATCAAAATATGGTGAAAATTGAGCTCCATTTTATGTAGCCAGAAAATGAATGCCAATTTCTGGTGCAACGTGGCTCGCAATTTTTAACAGTGTACTTCGTGATTTCCACGGGGATTCGATCAAGGCCGGGAGACTCATTTAGTTTTAAGGACTTGAGAGCTGATTCCACCTCTTCCAAAGTAGGGGGAGGGCACCTGGGTATCTGTATGAAAATGATGCGAATCCCGATGTAAAAAGGATGAATTCAGCAATTTACTAAGATACTCCAAGCTATATTTATTGGCTATATCGAGAGGATAGCTAAGGATTTCGCTATTTTACAAAAAGTAGCTACTGGATTTTTAATCCTTTCGACTGTTGTTAATAATAAGCTTATGGAAAGCTCGGATTTAATTGCTTCCTAAGGTCGAACAATAGTTTATGAAATTTCATTTTGATATCTATTCTTTTCCTTGAAATGAAACGAATTTTTTTTTGGACTGATAACGTATAAACGTAAAAGCAATATCGAATTAAAATAAACTAAAAAGAAAACTAAATTAATTCAAGTGGTGCCTTTTCAGTTCGATCATTAATTGCTCGAATATCCAGTTAAGAATTGTTTTATGGGTGGGAGAAACAGTTTAACGCTAATATCTTTTCCATTAAACAATGTAAAAAATATTATATTTCTCTTATCAAAAAAAAGAATAAAAAATTCAAATTCTATTCGTTGGTTACTCAGTTAAAAAACGATTTTTGAAAAAAAACTATTTTTAACATTTTTACCTTTTGAAAAATTAAAAATTTTACAGAATGTTTTAGATGCTAATTTTGTCAAAAAAAATATCTGTTAATATAAAATGTTTTCCTGCCTTTAATTAATCAAAATATTGCTTATAATCTATCAAAGTATTTTTGAATGTTAACATTTTATAAATGAGGAAACAGTTTATAAAGTAAAAATATTTAGAATTATTCAGTTTTTTTTTAAAATTATTTTTGAATTTTAAATTTTTTTTTACTGATATGGGACAAAATACTTTGAAGAAATACTATAAATAGTTTTAAATAATTACATTGGGTTAGATTTCTTATTAAAATTTCAATCTATAGTAAAGTGTTCTAGTGACTGAAAATTTGTTTACTCTTCAAACTACGCTCACTTTCGAAACTAGAGAATTCGGTCATGTACACTTAAATTCTTTTAATTCAAGCAAAATAAATTTTTGCCGCTCTCCGGAGTAGTTCTTAGAAAAACGCAATTAATTCTTTTCATTAAATGTCATTAATTAATTTTATTATTTTTTAAAACCCGCATTTTCGAATGTTTTTGTACTTAAGAAATCAAAACTTTTTATTACAAACAACGTACTTGCCAACATATCTGCCAACTCTTTTTGTAAAAATTTATTCTAGTCGTCACTCTGCTTACGTTTAAATGTGTTATTTTTTATTCATTCAAACTTGTTTTCCACCCTACCATACATAAATAATTTAAAAGTTCATGCGCAATGCAGCTTAATACCAGTTTTTTTACGGTGAGGCACTTAAAATGTTGGCAGAAATACCAAAAATTCTGAAATCTTTAGTTTTTATAAGTCTATCACTCTATAGAATATTTTTCAAAAAGTTTAGTAGTTGGCAGGCCTGAACATATTTAAATTTTCTCACCATGTATGTCGGCAAAATTACAAAACTTTAGAAATATTAAGAATTTTAAAAAAAATTATCGGTATTAAAATAATTATTTGATATTAAAGTTTAGAAAAGAATATTTAAGAAGTACTAGTATAATTTATAATATAACAAACTAAATAATAGTTCGAATTAAAAAGAAATATAAATATATTTTAAGTGTTTCGCACAAAAATTTTAAAAAAGAATTTTTTTCAAACTGAAAAAATAATCTTAAATAATTTTTAGAAAGGGTTTGATTGCTTGAAAAATTTATTTTAGAAAATTAATTTTTTAAAACTTTTCTTTTTTACCCCTTTCTATGCATAAATTTGTTTTCGTCGTACATGAGCTAATAGTAATAATTTAAAAACAACCTACGTTTAAAAATCTAGGTAAGTTTAAAAATTCACCTAAGCTTAATTCTGTCTCTAGATTTAATATAGATTTCCAGATATTAAAAGGAGAAGAATGAATTTTTCATTCATTGTGTTTCTTGTTAAGACCAGAGCAGAAAAATAAATTCTACTTTACTTTGCATTGCATCAAACTATTTAGGAACTCTCAATGAAATTTCTAGTTGAGCAAATAGCATAATTAGGTACATATATTTACAGATTCCAAAAATATTTATTAGTTTTATTAAATATTTTAGTGTATTTAATTGCTCGCTACATAATCTTTAAAAATTAATACATTAAATATTAATATATTAAATGCTTAATGTTAATATAACATATGAATATATTCACTAAGGGGGTAAGCCCCGTGCTCGCTGCCGCTCACCAACACCGATGCTTGTTTCGCTATAATTGTTGTTTCTTGGCAGAAAACAATTTTTCTACTAAAGTTAAAATTATTCTCTCAATATATATGTACTAAAACATAATATATGTACTATTCACTCAATATATATGCACTACTAGTTTGTACCTCCACTTCCCACTTAAATATTATTATCTGTTAGTATTATAAATATTTGGATCTATAGCTGATCAGAAGTAA